TACCACCCTCTGGGTGCGACTCTCTAACCAGTTGGCGACCCATTGGACTGTATGGGTGTCTACGCCACAGTCCCCCAGCTTCCTAATGAGAATGGGGTGAGAGACAGTATCAAAAGCCTTCCTGAAGTCTAGGAAAACTATATCCACTGCCACCCCTGCATCCAATGATTTAGTGACCTGGTCATAAAAGCCCACCAGGTTGGTCTGACAGGACCTGCCACTGATGAATCCGTCCACAGCCTATAGGCCTCTCTTTCCCTCTGAAGGCTCTCCTGGATTTCTGTGCTCAGCCAAGAAGGTTGTTTGGCTCTTTTGCCTCCCTTTGCATGTACTGGGATGGTGTCCCTCTGTGCCTGTAGGATCAGTCCCTTCAGAAACTCCCACAATTCTTGGGCCCCCATCTCACAGATGCGATTACCCCTCAGTCCCACCCTAACCAGTCTCCTGAGCTTGTTGAAGTTGGCTTCCCAGAAGTCTAGCACCACTGCCCTACTATTTGTCTTTCCCACCTCACACCAGATAGTGAATCCTATCAACTGGTAGTCACTATCCCCTAGGTTACCTTGTACCTGTAGCTCCCTTAATAAAGTCCTCCCCTGAGGCCAGCACCAAGTCAAGTAAGGCATCTCCCCTAGTAGTACTACGTATCTCCTGTGTTAGATGCAGGTCCTGTATGCAGGTTAAGAACCTATGTGAATGGGCAAACCTGGCCGACTGCTCCTCCCAGCAGATGTCTGGGTAATTTAGATCACCAATGACAACTAGGTCTTTTGAACATGCTGCCATTGAGAGCTGTCTAAGAATACTAGGTCTAACTCTTTCCCCTGGTGTGGGGGTCTGTAGTAGTCCCCCACTACCAAGTCCCTTTACCCCTGTGACAGGGGTGACTCTTCTGGAGTCAGTCTATCAATGACCTCACCCTCCTGTTATGGGCCAACTGCCTGCCTTCTCTCCTGCCATGCCTTGATCTTAATTAATTAATGGATGTTAATTAGTGGGAGGCTGCCCATTTATTGCTCTGGTGCCAGGAGGCACTATCTGCGGCTCCTTTTCCTTCCCTACACCGCAGCCCAAGCCTCGCAGATGATACTGATGTGGTTTGATCTGGGCCTTGTTGTAATTTAGCCTTCTCCTTGTCCTCTCTGGGCTTTCCACAGATCTATCTCACTCTGTTTTGCTCTGTGCCTTCCTGGTGCTCGGCTTCTCTCACTGCCCCCTCTCTCTGGGGCTTCTCTCGCTGCCCCCTCTCTCTGGGGCTGGGGTTCCCACACTGCTGTGGGTCCCCTATGAGGCCTCCTCCATCCCCTAATAGCCTCACCCAAACCACCAGTTAAAAAGCAAACACAAAACACAAGCCCCTGGGCTAT